GTGTGTGTGTGTGTGTGTGTGTGTGTGTGTGTGTGTGTGTGTGTGTGTGTGTGTGTGTGTGTGTGTTAGGGGAGTATTGGGGGCTGAGGGTCGTTTCGGGAAAAGCAGCAGAGAAAACTGCCTCTTGTCTTCTCCAGTTTGGGGCGTCCAGATGGGAAGTCATTTTTTATTCGTCTTGCGGCGGCGCCTCACATCTGTCGCTGCAGATGCTTAATGAATACAGAAGCAGGCCGGGCTGTCGCCTCATTAATACTGCAGCGGCGCGGGGAGTCCGGCTCGGCCCCGGCTCGGCTCGGGCCCGGCAGCGCCGCGGCGCCGCTGGGCCCCGAGGACGCTGCGCCGCGGCGGGCGACAGCTGGCGCCTCGCTGGATGAGTCTGCGGCGCCTCCGAGCGTCTCTGAAAGTCTTTACGGATGTTAACTGAAGCGACGGGAGAGGCTCCGCCCCCTGCAGCTTCAAACAGGTGAAGAAGCTCCACCTCCTCGCTCTCACTGACCACGCCCCCAATGGGATCGGATCTGACGGCAGGAAGTTTTCAAACAAAATAAAGACGTTTCAGAAATGAAAGGACTGGTTTGGACCCAACATCTGAAAGCAGAAATAATGAAACTGCTGTTTGACTTCATCATTAACTCTCCTCCTCCTCCTCTTCTTCTTCTGTGGTTTTATTAAAGGCTCATTAAAAGGCTCATTTCCCCTCGTCTGCTCGGACACTGTTTTAATGTTGTTTTAGTCCAAATGAGTGACTGTGAAGGTCGCTAGACAGTGTCCCCCCCGTCTCCCCCGCGGTAAGGACCATTACCTGAGCCCCATTAAACCGTTAAACCGGGGGCTTCGGTCCAGACCCTCATAAAGACGTCTCAGCTGCTCAGAGACCTTCACAGGTGAAACTCACACTTTTTTTTTATTTCAGCTTATGTAAAAAAAAAAATGAAATGAAACAAGAACATCTGCCTCCCAAACTGATCCTTCACCTGTCAGACGGAGYTGAGGGAAGAAACAACCCAAACTTAAAGAAACAAGAAAAACTTGGACAAAAATTTTAATGCAACAAATTTCTTAAAGATAAACAATAAGAGAAGTTGTGATCACATGACACAGCTGTGAAGGACTTTATATCTCATTCTAGGGCTGTGTCCAAAACGACAGGCCGAGTCCTCCGGAGGAGCCTGCCTACCCGGTCGAGGCGGGCCGGGTCCTTGGTAGGCCGGGAAGACCGGAAAAAAAGAGTCTGTGAAATTCAACGGTCTAGCCTCCCCTCCACCCCGGCGTACATCATGTCACTTAGCAACCATGACGACGCTAAACAGAAGTAAAATTTGATCAAAACAAGAAAAATATCAATATATTAGCATTATTAATATCACAAAACAATAAAATTAACTTAAAGGTAACATTTGAAGAACTAATTGACCCGCTGTAGGTTCATGTTTATTTCGCGTTTTTATGACAAAAATAATATTTAAAAACACGTTTATAGAAATGATAAAAGTATTAGAATTACAACCACTAAAAAATGTTAATTTTTCTATCGCCATATTTTTATTTAAAACGTATTATTTTCTCTCGCTTCGTCCGCCATTACTAGCT